CACCCCGTTCTCCTCCAACGAGAGCAGCTGGCATCAGGGCACCAGCTTTGGGGCAGTCCCAAGGTGGGGTTGCTGTGCTGGCCATGGGATCCGGGACCCCCCCCCAGACCAGAGAGCTCCCTAACCAGCTCCACCGTACCCACTGCCCACTCAGCTATACCGCTGGCGGGTCCAGCTCAGCTCTGGATTGCTGGGTGGGGCCATAGAGCTGGAGAGACTCCGGAGGCATGAGAGTCTCCAAGGGGGCAGGGAAAGGCCACCATAGGCAGGACAGATTGGGGACTGCATCACGGCCTCTGTGTCTCCCTGACCCTGGCCCGACATGGGCTGCGGGACCCCACGGCATGGGGTCCCTCCCACTTCCAGTAGCGCAGGCACCGCCCTCCTGGTCATTCGAGGGAGCAGCCCCGGAGCCAGACAGGCCAGACTCCCACCCCCAGCCCAACAGGGTGTGGGCATGTCTGTCTCTCCCAGCTGCTTCAGGGATGGGGACAATTCGGGTCTCCCGTGGCCCCAGGGGCATGTGTGGGAGTCAGTGGCTCCAAGAGCTGGGAGCTGGCAGGGCTAGTGGCTGGAGCACCCCAGTTCAGGCCAGCATCGTGACAGCTGCTGCCGACACCCAGGCACCCAGCGTGGGCAACAGCCCTGCACTTCCTCATGGTGGGGGGAGGGGGTTCAAATAGGCCATTTCCCCGCAAACACCAGGACCTCGCTGATGTCCTAGGCCCCAGGTCCAAGTGAGGCCACCTGTATGGAAGGCGGGGCCATCACCAAGGGGTGGAGCCTCAGGGAGGGGCAGGGCTAGCATGAGGGGGCGGAGCCCATCAACTCAGTTCACCTGCCCAGGTGTTCCTCTGCTTCAGAAGTGGACAGAGTGGCCAGCAACGAAAGGCCCCCGGGCCCTGCCCTGCTCAGCCCTCTGCGACCACACCCTGCAGTGGAAGTCAGACCTGAGCACCAGTAGGACAGCCCCAGGGGGCAGATGGGGTGGGCAGGGCATCCCAGCCAGGATGCCGGGGAGGTTGGGCACACCCACCCCAAGATAGCAGCCAGCGTGCCTCCCACGCCGCTCAGAGGGACCCAGGGCAGCTACACACCACGTGCCCATCCCCTCAGACCCCGACATGCAGTGAGGAACTTGGACTTCCACACCACTGGGGAAGTGAGCAAAACACACCGGGAAGCGGCCCTTGCTGCTCCGCACCCTGAAGAAATGTTCTGACACACACGGTGCAGTGGCTTGCGCCTGTCATCCCAGCACCCTGGGAGGTCGAGGTGGGAGGATGGCTTGAACCCAGGAGTTTGAGGTTGCAGTGAGCTGTGATGACGCCACTGCACTCCAGCCCAGGTGACAGAATGAGATTCTGTCTCTAAACAAAAAAACAGAAATTCTGAAACTGAGCACTTCCTAGCTATCGACTGTGACCAGACTGTGCTCAGCACCGAGTGGGACCCAAGAGAATTACAGGCCCCAGCACTTCCCAGAAGAACTCAGTTATCTGGAAAAAAACCACAAAAATAAAACCCTTGGGTGGTTAAGGGTCAAAGCACTGCATCCCAGGGAGCCAGGGAAGGTGTGCCCCAGGAGAGGCGCCCAGGCAGGGCACAGGGGAAGGGGTGGATGCCAGCTTGGCCCTCCCAGTCAGTATTAAGAGAAGGGAAGAGGGCAGCAGTGGTCCACCTCACGACCAGGGAAACCGAGGCTCAGAGAGGCTCTGGAGCTTGCCACGGCCACATGATCCATGAGAGACAGAACTGGAGCCTAAATCCGACTCCCAGGGTCTCAGGGCTGTGCCTGGGTGGCACCATCTGCAGGCCACGCAGTGAATGAGGAGTTGCCCCAAGTCCTGGAGCCAGTAGGCAGCTCGGGAAGAGCCGGAGGTGGCTGGTAGGGTGACACCTGGCAGGTGCAGGGACCCGGCCCCACGGAGGCTGCATGGCCATGCTAAGGGGGATGGCTGACCCTCGAACTCGGGAAGAAGGGTCAGCAGAGGACATCGCCAAGGAGAGGGTGCGGGAGGGCGCCTCACCGAGCATCACTGCAGCCAGGCAGGGGCTTCTCCAGAGAGGCCGCTGGGCCACGCGCACCCACACCGAGTGAGGCCCCCGTGGCAGCCTGCACTCAACTCACACCCACTCTCCCAGCCGCCCCCACGGACCCCCACGGCACACGCTCCGGGCCACCTGTATTGCCACCCCTGCCGCCCTCTCCCCAGGCCCACCCACGGTGCGGAGAGGACTGTTTGCCTCAGCAAATCACGGCCAGGCAGGCACTGTGACGGAAATGCCACCATCATGCCCGACTCCCCCAGGCTTTCAGCTCTCACGCATCAGGACACGACACCCTCATCCTCCACCCAGCTCAGAAAGCCTGGCCTGTCTATGGCCAAACCACCCTGAACGCACCCGATCTCGTCTGATCTCGGAAGCTAAGCAGGGTCGGGCCTGGTTAGGACTTGGATGGGAGAAAGCCCAGCCTCCCAGGGCCAGGGCAGGGGCTTTGTGAAGATGCCCAAAGCTGGCACATCCAGTCCTGCCTCGGCTGATTCCCAAACCTGGGGTCACCCAAGCTTGTCATCCGAGAGCACCTGTAGGCCCCCGAATGGCCCCCGCCCTGGCCGCTCTAGCTCTGCTGTCAAACGTCTGCTGCTGGCGCCTGCGGGACCCTCACCCACAGCCTGGGCTGCCACCCCTGCCTCCCCAGACCACGAAGCCCAGAAGCTGAAGCCGGACCAGGAGCCCCAAGTCACCTCCACACTCAGCCCCAGGTGGCTTCGAGTCAGCTGACCCTCAGGCCAGTCAATCGGGACCACTGAGGCACTGGAGGTGGCCCCATGGAAAGGACACAGGTCCCCGCAGGGCTGGGAGCACACGGCAAACAAGCAGGTGGAGTCTGCAAGGAGTGGCCCTTCCCCGTTCCCTGAATGGGACGGGTCCAAGGAGCCAGGGCAGAGCACACAGCCCAGGAACAAGCCCCACCCACGGGGCTCTGCAGGCGCCCGCACCTGGGGCAGAGCGGCACGGGCAGCAGCGGCCAGGAGCACCGTCAGGGCTCTGCTGAGCAGAGGCTTGGAGGGGGGCAGGCGGCCAGAAACCAGAGGGCAGGCGGCTTGTGGGGCTCCGGGCTGCGCGGGAGGGGAGGAGGGATGCCGCGGGCCCACAGCCAGCCCTGCTCAGCCCGGGCCTTTCCCGAGCCTCAGGACACCTGGTCAGCACCCGGCTATGACCTCTGGTCTTCAGCAGGACACTCCTCCAGTGGCTTCCAGCGAACCTGGACAGGGCAGGGTCAGCTGTGCCAGGGAGGGGACCACAACCTGGGCAGGACAGAGCCTCGCATATGCAAATGACGGAATGTCACCGAGGTAGGAAAAGGAAGCACTGATGCTGACAAGGAAAGGGAGTGACACACTGACACGCTATCACGGCGACCCTGACACGCTGCACTCTGCACAGACTGACACGCTACCACACGGTAACCCCCGAAACGCTGCACTCTGTGCAAGACGCCAGCACGCAAGCTATATGCTACAGTGTGCGGTCCCACAGATGGTCAGAGCAAGGTGACCCAGACAGAAAGCAGGCTGGTGATTTCGGGGTGGGGTGGGGTGGGGCGGGGCGGGGCAAATGGCCCTGGGGCTCCGAAATCAGCTGAGTATGCTCCGCGTCACGGACTGGAACCTTTAAACGGTGAACTGTGGCCTCGGTAAGGCCGTTACCGAAGAATCCCACAGCACCTCGAGGAGAAGGGTACAGCCGTCCAGCCACCCCAGCTGAGCCCCATCCCTGGGCCACCAAGTTAACCCCCAGAAGGTACCCTCTGAGAAGCTGTCACACCCGGCCCAGGTGCTCGGGGCCAACCACAGTCGCACTTGCAGTGCCCACACCTGTGCCGAGGAGGCTACTGCCCAGGCGGCGGCGCGTCTGCTTGGCGTTCAGAAAGCAAAGCACAAAACACACCGTGGGTCAGAGGAAAAGAAAACCCGGCGTGCGGTATGTCGCTGTCCGAGTCTTCCCCTCCTCAGCCTCCTCCTCAGCCCTACACCCCCGGCAGGGAGGCTCCTCGAGCAACATCCGGAACAGCTCCAGGTGGCAACTCACAGGTGTGACAGGCCAGGGCCAGTCCTAGCCGGTCATAAAAAGGATCTAGACAAAGACGGCGGAAAACGTGCCTGACGTGGGCGAGGCGCACAGACTCTGCAGAGGACTTCTGGGTACACACTCAAACACGTGTTCACACGGCAGGGCTGTGTGGGGCTTGCCGGGCTTGGCACGCCGTAGGAAGGGTGGGGCCTCAGAGGCCAGGGCTGGACTCAGAGCTCCGGCCACGCCTGTCCAGGGCACTCGCTGGAAGCTTCCACCTGAGTTACACACAACCGGGTGTCCCATTGACCTCAGAGGTTTCTGGGCTTGGTCTGTACCAGGTGACTGGCCCGGGTTCTGGTGCACACCTGTGTTGGGTCGTGCCTGTGTGGGCCACGCTGTCCTACGTCCCAGCCTGCTCAGCACAGAGCAGGAATGCCGGCACAGCTGGCCCTTCTCTGGAGCCGCCGATGCCACCTGGGGGGCACAGTGGCTGTTGAGATGCCCGGCCAGCCCCAGGGGCCACCTCAAGTGCACTAGAGTGACCGTCTGTGCCTGACTCCTGGGCAGGAGCCCAGAGGGACCAGGGTGGCAGGATTTCATTTGGGTTTCTGCTCCTTTGGCAGAGAACCTTCTAGCACCCCTGGGAGGTGGCTGCTGCGAGCAGGGCAGGGGCTGCAGGCCAGCTCTGGGACGCTGGGTGCTTGCTGCTCTGGAACCTATCGGGAAAGCAGAGGCTGCCTCCGCCCAGTCACGCCTGGGGGCCGGTGTCCTCCCCCTGCGGCACAGTGCTGTGGGCAAACGGGGGGCGCCTCTCCTTCCCCCGCTTGCTAAGGAAGGGGGGCAAGAAGTCCCAGCACGGCGGAAGAGTCGCCTTGGGGGCTGCAAGGCCACGCCCTCGCCGCGTGCGCGGGGCTCACCTGCAGCTCCTTGTCCGAGTACTTCTGCGGGTTCTTGCTCCCCTGGCTCTTCTTGCGGAGTTTCTTCAGCTCAGCCTGACACTTGTCCAAGGCGTCGCCTTTGCTCCTTTGCTCCGTCTGGTATTTCTTCAGTGCGGCCTGAGATTCCAACAAAAACACAAACACAGGCCCATGAGCCTGTCGCAGCCCAGCCCCACTCACCAGCCCCGACCCCTTCCTGGCTCTTTGCAGCCGCCGGGGCCCGGCCCTGCAGGATGGGGGGCAAAGGCTCAGCTAACAGTCCGTGCGGGCGGGCCAGGGTGGGGGGACCACCTTGAAGCCTCTGCTGGCCCCACGACAGCTCTCTGCTCCCCAGAAAGGAAAGCCAGATTCAGGAAAGGCAGCCGGGACTCAGCCTCCCGCCACCTCAAGAGCCAGAGACAGCTCTCGCAGACTGGCGCACTGAACGCCAACGGGACCCCGTGGTCTCTCGCTGCAGGGGGAGCGGCCACGGGGCCGGGAGAACTGCACTGAACTACAGAGGTCAGAGGAGCCCGTGCGGCGTCCGCTTCACTACAGCGGCCATGCGGGGCTGGCTGGAACTCGGCACCTGGGCTGTCGTGGTCGACGGGCTTCCCCACGGGCTACAGCTGGGGCACGCCAGGGGCACTCGGCCTCGCACGGGCATTAAGGGAAGGACTTAAAGGCAGAGCGGGGAACCGGGCGGGGGCCCAGCAGGCCAGGCCAGGGGTACTTACGCTCAGGTACCTGGAGTCCAGCTCCACCTTCTGCTCCAGCTGCGTGAGCAGTTCGTTGTGAAAAGACTTCAGCTGGGCGTGGGGAGAAAGCGAATCAGCAGTGAGCTCCCGCACACGGCCCGGGCAGGAGACAGGGTGGGGGCGTGGACAGTCCCCATGTGCCCTGACGTGCCAGGGAGCCGCCTGACCGAGGAGCCCACGTGGCCGGGGGGCCAAGCGAGCCGCCATCAGACCCAGCCCTCGATGCCACACGGGCTCCGTTTCTCACACGGGGAACAGAGACAGCCCCTGATCACCCGGACGAGGGACAGGAGCCGCAGGCCTGAACAGAAACTGGGGGGACCCCAGCAACCTCCCGCCTCCCACCCCCCCGCCAGCTTTAGACTGGATGCTGCAAACTGGTGGCCAGAAAGCGTGCTTTGGTCTGGGGACACTGGTTCAGGGACAGTATCTGCTTTGCCTATGTTTGTAGTCGGGAAAATCCAGAGGAAATCTGACTTTCCGGCCTCATCAAGCCACGGGAGCGGCTTCCGGCTGCGGCTGTGACCAGGACTCTCCCTGAGCCCGCATTTGCTGTGTCCCTGCTGCTGGGGCCTGTGGCTCGCGAGACCCTGGTCTGGCTCGAGCCCTTTCTCCTGGGTCCTCCTGTGCCCCTCAGCCCAGGGTCCCTCCCCGCCTTGAGTATGGCTGCACAACATGAAACGTCCCCAAGTGGACACATGGCCACAGCACACAGCCAGCTCTTCCACTGACGCCAGCAGCAGCTGCCCCACCCATACCTGCCCCCCCACCAGGTGCCACCCCAACAGGCAGGACTCACCATTTCTTCCAGCTGGTTTTGGATCTGCCTGTGGACTTCTGCCATCTGGAAGAGCACGTCTCCTGGGAAGGCAGGACAATAGGAAAGGGAGGGATCAGCGTCCCAGACCACCGCCCACCCCAGCCCGGGGTTGAAGGCCGACAGGCAGGACATGCCAGGGGCTGTGGGGTCTTGGGGCTGCCGGAGGTTTGTGCCCAGCAAAGTCCCATCTGCTGCCCAAGAAAGCCATGACCGTGGGCAGAGGGGCCTGGAGGTGCCAGGGCCAGATGCAAGGGGTAGGGGAGGGGATACCAAGAGAAACAGAATTCTCCAGTGACAAAAGACTCAGGATCTCAAATGCACGGGACGGACCTCAAGTGTGTGCATGGGAGTGGATGTTCAGGACAAAGGCGAGAGACAGGCAGAGCCCCCGTGTGCACTCGCCACTCTGGGTGCAAGCCCGTGAGCGTGAACACCCGACTTCGCACGCATCTGGCTCACAGACGCCATGACTCCTGACCTACCCACGTGGAGCCCAGGCCTGTGGTCCCGTGGGCCCCAAGCAGGGTGGACAAACCTCCCCTAGGGACACTGCCTGGGGACAGGCTGTGACGCTCCCTGACCTGAGGGGCCTCGGCACCCAGGTCCGAGGAAAGAAAGAGGACCTGGACCCATGCCACAGCTCGGGGACAGGTGGGCCAGGGCGGCCTGCTGCGCCAGGCTGACTCCCCAGTAGCTGCCCGAGAGCCCCAGGGATGCGCGCTGCACTCGGCACAGCGCTCGCTTCCTGCACGTTGTCCTCGAGCGGCAATGCTTCAGGGACACTGATGTCTCCTTGGCCCATTTGCAAAAGGCGGATTAAGAAATCAGAACCGTCGCAGCAATCGGAGCCTATTTCCAGCCTAGATGTCAACAAGACCGGCTCAGGGCCACCCACATGTGGGCCCCTTGGGGGCATGGGTGTCTGGGATAACCCAATGTCAGGCAGAGCCGCCCCCACCCCAATCTCCCTGCAGGGGCCTGGCCTCCCTGTCAGCGGGACCGGAGGGGGCTGAGGGACTTGCCCGCACTTCCTTCCCGGCCAGGCGTTTCCCGCCTTCCCTCTCCCAAAGCTCCCGCACAGCCGTGACTCCGTCTGAGGCATGGCCACCGAGACCAGCAAGTGTGATCACATCACGGAGGTGCCAAGTGAGCCGCATCAGAAACCCACCTGCAGAGGCGCAGCTGAGCTGTGCACACCAAGCCACCCCCAAATCAGCACCACTTGGGACAAGAAGTGAACAATGACAACTGCCCATCTGCCCCTTGCTGTTGGCACAAGGGAGCTACCTCTGGGGCACATGGCTCCATCCCTTGTCTGCAGAGGGAGGGAAGAACTGGGTGGTGTGGGCCACGCTCCTTTGAGCGGCAAAGACTTGCTGAGCGGCTGTTTTCAGGGCCAAGCACTGACCACGTGCTGTGGACACAGCGCAGGAGGGACCGTCACTGCCTCGAGGGCAGGACGCTTTCTGGCAACCCCTGTCCTCCAGGTGCTGTCTGGAGCAGGACTCCCCTCCTGCTCATTTCTGAAGGAGAGCGTGGTGGACGGACCCCTGGGGGCAACAGTGTGACCCAGTGCGTGTAAGTCTGAGTTCGAGGGTGTACGAGAGTGTGAGTGATCGTGTGTCCGTCTGTGAGTTAGTGCGCGTGTGCCACAGGCACGCTTCTGTGTGTGGACAGGGGTGTGAGCGCGAGTCTCCCTTCACTCTCCAGCCGCCGCTGCTGTTGCCCTCTGCCACGGGACGCATTCGCAGGGACCACGCTGGCCTGTGAGCCTGGAGGGAGGGAAGGCGGGAGACACAGCAGCAAGGCGGACCCCCAGGCCACGGCCCTGCCAGGCACAAAACACCTATTAAATGCCACAGCACACCCAGCACCTCCACGGATGCCAACCCAGATCCACTGTCCCGTGCTCTGTCCCCCCGCCCGGGGATTACTTCCAACCAGCTACAACCACTGCAACCAGCTCCAAGTGCGCCTGGTACCGCCAGGTGGGATGGGACGCAGCGATGGCCCCCCAGGAACCACAGCACAGGGAGGGGACCGCTGCTGCAGGAGCCTCTCCTGTTGGGATGGCACTGAGACCTCACGTGGTCAGCGGTAAACCACATGCTGACGTCCCACCCACACCCCACCGGACCAGAGGCTCAGGCATGCAGGGAAGGGGCCGAGGATGACGGGGACAGAATTGGGCGTGAAGCTCAGTCCCCCATCCCCGTCCTTGGTGGAGAGGAAGCCAGGGCCAAACTCGAGCCACCAGGCAGCAGGAGACAGGCATGAGGCTGGCGGCACAGACCCCGCGGGGAGGGACCCTCGGCTCTCGGCCAGCACGTGCACGTTGCCACTCAGCCCTGCAGCCCCCCGTCTGTGCGCTGGGAGGCCACCGCCCAGCAGTGCCCTGTCCCGCGAGTCCAGAGACCGGCGCACACCAGGGAAGCCTTGAGCTGTCAGACCTGCCCGAGCTCAGAAAGGAGAACAGGCGGCATGAGACCACACTACGGCAGGGCTGCGAGAGAGGCAGGCCAGGGCTGGCTTTGCTTTGCGCTTTCCGGCATTCTGTGAACCCCCAGGACGACGCCACTGCTGCTGCACTCAGGAGCCGCCCAGGGAGCCGTTCTGGGGTGGTTTGTGCTCTGTGACTCAGGGTCTTGGACCCCACTCCCAGCTCTCAGGCTCCCAGGACATCCGGGACCCGGCTTCAACCAGGGTCAAAGGGCAGCAGGTGACCACGGTGGGCACGAGGTCTGGCCTGTGCAGGGAACCTGCTCAAGCCCTGGGCCTCGCCAACACCATCCTCGCCCATGGTGTGTCCACACGTCCGGAGCGTCTGCATGTCGTACACAGCCGTCACGAGGGCGCCGACCTGCCTCTCGCACAGGGGCCCGCAAGTGCATCAATGAGAGGTACGGCAGGCAGCCATGTTGCATTCACGCAAATGGCCGCGCCCTGCTGGGAGTCTCCCCACGGCGGATGCCACAGCGCTCGTCATAGCCTTAGGCTCCGAATTCTAAGCTCACGTTAGGATCTGACGCAAAACACGTATTCCCCTAAAAGGCTCCAAGCAGCCAATCCCAGAAGAACATTTGGAAGAAAATCATCAAACAGCAAATCCTACGCAAAAGGAACCGCTCATGCTGAAGAGGATGTGCCGCTTCGCAAGGGATTATGGCCAGGGAACAGTGTCAGACACCCTACAGGGGTGGTGGCTGCCACCCACCTGGGCTTCCTCGGCACCCAGATGTGCACCCCAGTGTCCGGCCAGCCAAGACCCCCGGCCCCACGCTGCGCAGTTGCCCATGGGACACCCGGGCATGGCTGCGCAGACTAGCACATGCCCTGAGCTTCAAGCCAGAGGCTGTGCAGAATCAGCCTACATGGGGGTTTTCTGCATGTTACACGCAGTTGCAGGGGGCCACACGCGTGTGCAGCCACCAGCACTTAACCCCCGGAGGGACGGTCAGCCACCCACACCAGACCCTGGGCCCAGCACAGGCTCCCAAGACCTCAAGATCAGGTTGGGGCTCTGCTGGACCAGCAAGCAGCAGCCTCGTCCCTGCTCCCTGTGTTCTTTCGGGATCCTGAAGGTGGGTGGTGAAGGGCTTCGGAGCCTGTGGGCACCGCGCTCTGGGGCGAGCGTGCGTCAGGGTGCGTGAGCGGCAGCTCCGGGGCTCTGGGGTTCCGGGCCCTCTCCACCCTCCCTCCCAGGAAGCGGTCAGACCTTTCCAGGCCCACCTGCGGGGGAAGGAGGCGGCTGCCAGCTTCCTACCCGATACCACTGGCCCACTGGGAAGCCAGGCCATGGATCCTAAACCCGAACAACCCAGTTCAAATGGAAGATAAGACGCAGCGGTGCCAGGACAAACAGTGAGTGAGCCAGGATAAAGCAGCATTGAGAGCCGGCCCGCCCAGAGAAGGCGACCACACCTCAGGGCACCCGCGGGGGAGAGCAAGAGTGGTGGGAGGAAGTCCCCATCGCTCGAGGGGGGGGGATGAGTCACCAAGCCCTGAGCTCCTGGGGGTGGGACAGGACCCCAGGGAGCGCTGCTGGCTCAGGGTGTCTCGGGGCTGGGGTCAGCCTGCCCACTTTGGCAGTGGGGAAGGGGTGACGCCCAGGGGGCACATGTGGGTGTCACAGGCCATGGGTTTCATTTGGACAGAAGTCCAGAAAATACACAGGTTCCCTGAGAACAAGGCCACACCCTCCCCCGGATTCCTCGTCAGGCAGGCAGCCAGGTCAGCCCTGGTGAGCCACCTCAGGCTTCACCTGCATCGGTCCTAAGCTTTAAGGATTCCTGGTGCTGTTAGTAACGTCGACCTCTGCCTCAGAGTGACAAGAGCCCATGCGGCAGCGGCCCCACCCCTGGGGGAAGGCAGGGCCCCTGGGTGCAGGCCATGAGGAGGCTGCCACACACAGAACACGCACCTGCATGTACACGCACACACATATGCACACACCGAATACGTGGGCAAACTGCAGCACACACTAGCATGTACTCGCAACATTCACACACGTCCACACACACTGCCCTTCCACCAGACCCGTGGGGCGTGCAGGTCACCTCCCTGCACTCCAGCCTGGCCCGTCCTGGCCTGTGAAACTCAAGGGGACGTTCAGCTGACAGAGGCCGATGTGTCTTGTGTGGCTACAGGACAACACGGGACGGTCACCACCACCCTGAGCACGACCGGCTGTGACCTGACCAGCTATGGCCCAGGAGCCGGCACCTGCGCCCAGGTCTGCGTGTAGTGGACGGGACCCGGGCTGGGCCAGGAGACAGCGCCAGCGCCAGGCGGGGCCTAACAGGGAGCAGTGGCGCCAGGCCCCTCGCGCGGCCCCAGCAGGCCCATCTGTCCTTGTGTCTGCTCCGCTGGGGTGGCACCTGGCCAGCGGGCCCCGTCCACCCGCCAATCCCAGCTCCTGTCTGGAATCCCGGCAGAGCCCTCCGGGCCCGGCCCAGCCCAGGCCCAGTACCTGGCTCTTTGCTTTTTTAGGTTGTGATAAAATTCACTTAACATAGAATTCACCATTTTTACCCTTTTAAAG